ACTACTCGTATAGTAAATTATGCAAAAAAAAAATTATCTGTGACTAGATTTTTAAGTCACGAACATCTCAAAAACTACAAAATTGAAATATCTTTTCTATAATAATTTGCACCATTTTTAAGACCGGGACATTATATTGTGAGTTTTAGAAGCTTACATCTTCATAAACCAGGTAATTTGGTCATGTTGCAAAAATATCATTTTGAGTTGCGTGTTGTAGTAGAACTCGATTTACCTGTTATTACTTTGACATAACATCAATTTTTAAGTTTTTGAACAAATGAGGATGATTTGAGACAATTTGTCGGTTAAATATCGAAACTTTGTAACATGTTGTTGGGAAAAAAATGTGCCGTGCACTAATCTAAGCATTCAAAACTTGCCATCAAATTATTGTTCTCAAGATAGAAAACTACTTCAGTTCACATACCTTTCCTTTTTCATAAATCACCCAAAAAAAAAATCTTCGAAAAATATTGCTCAAGTCGAATCAAACCTGTAAAACTAGGAAAAGATATTTTTAGAGAGTACTTTTTTAGCATATTCTGCCATCAAGTCCCTACTGTTGCTAAGAACAAAATGTCTTCTCTCATGGGGTTAAATCAAATGTTTGTTATTTACTATAAATTTATGGCACAAAAAATTTAAAGACTATACTTCAGACCAAAACAGCACTTGAGCAATTGCAAATCATTGTCTTATTACGTCATGAAGGAAGATAAGAACAAAAAGGCTGACCTAAAAGAATGTCCTCGGCGGATATGTAACGGAGAACCTCAAAATGCCGCCCAGAGCTGAGTTGTACCTGACATGAGGTAGAGATGACATGAATCCAATGTGTGACAGAAGAATGAAAAATGACTGAAGTGTTCTCGTTGCATGATGAAGTGCACAACGCAAGTACATCTGGCAGTCAAGAATTACAGTTGTGACTCAGTGTACACCTCGCACCTACGCATACTATACGTATGAATCCCAAGTGATTGGAGGGAATACGCATCTGTTGCATGTACGATGTATTTTCTGGCCAGTTTTCCAACCATCGTTTGTAGAAGAAGCCCAGCATGCAACAACGCATGAGTGCATGGAAATACATTATTGGAGACACTAAATCTACGCATACACCACTGAAGTACCGCAAGGAGACATCAATGAAAGATAATCATCAAGCCCAAAGAGACAACAAAGTAGCTAACATATGTCAAAAGAGAAGCACACCACTGAAAGTGCTCCATGCGAGAAGCCAGAGCACTCGATGGGTTTTCGAAAAAAGCTTGCTAAATTCACCATTGAAAACGATGCTAGGGGAGAGGCAGATTCCAAACCGACGACCTACAGAAACTGGCATAGGCACTCAGAGTCCGTAGATCTGGCAATTGTTCTTCTGATTCGACAGAATATGATTCCACTCGCATGATGCTCATTGCGAAAATCATATACTTCTGCGGTCCGAGCATTCATTTCTCTAGGAGAGCTGCTCGTAGCTTATTGCTAGGATCACCGGAAGCTTGGAAGGAACTTGTGTAAGTTTTGTCTGACATGCAACCCAGACCCAACAACTCCAACGTGAAATCGGTACGTGTCCTGGGAAAAATCATCTCTTGCCTTGGAAGACTTGTCGGCACACAGGTACACTTCCTCATCAAGCAAAAGATTTCAGATTGGCTCTAACAACAGGCGATAGTAAAAGTTCGTACTTTCTCGTTGTTGCCCTTTCCCAAAAGGTTTGGATGATTGATTAACTTCCTGCTTTCATATCCTTTATGTTGGTTCCATCTGATTCAAGTATAAAAATCCCGTGCCAACTAAAACATGTTTCCCAGCATAAAGCAACGCCTAAGGCTAACTTAGGTTGCTCGAATTTGCGCCACTTTTTCCTCTGCACCCCCATGAGAAAATTCTTCTCTTCTGTACTTTCCTTGCCTAGTCAACCTGGTCGCTAGAGTGGCGCCAAGTAAGACTAGAAATCCCAGAAACCATTGTCACGTGAGACAACATCATAAGATGCAAGATCAGAAAGGGTAAGAGAGAAGAGAGAAGATAACAAATTCCGTGAAGATGTGGATGAATGTGAAAGTAAAATATTCCGTGAAGTAAAGTGTGCCGGGGTGGAATATAAAATGGTGGGACGTGAAGAGGAGATTAAGTGGATGCCTCGGGCTCGTAGGACGATTCGGAGATATTATGCCGTACCACTTGAGGCCACATTCATGTACGTAAACTGTTGGTGATGGCTTCTGGAAAGGTCAAAGACGACGGATGACACGGGTTATAATGTAGCCCTATGAGCGAGAGAGAATAGAGAAAGAGTTGCATGAAGATGCTTGCGGAACTTGACAGTGCCATCATGTGCATTTCGAGATCCAATGTGCACGAAAGTGCCCAACAGAGCTTGAGCTCAGAGCAAGTTACACATAATTGGCAGATGGCAGGTCACTTAAGGTTCTCTTTCAGGTGATCATCATATGACAAACAAATTTCCCACACGCTCCAGTTGCATATCTGTTCTCAGACCAGTACCACATGCTTGCTTAGCATGAAATGTAGTTGAGTCAATCATTTTTTTAGTCCAGTCGTTTGCACAACCTGTCATCACGAGCAGGTGTACCGTAGCACATGCACTGCCCGCTAACAACCTCCCACATGGTTCGATACGAGCTCGAGCCGCATTACCTTGTTTTAGAAAGAATTTATGCCCCGGATATGAGTTTTCTATGAGCTGCAAGCTTATCGGAGTTTACCTTGCGCGCTGGATGGAATGTATCCAACATGATAAGCATAAAGCCTGTGACCAGTTGCTAGATTCAGAGAAGCAAACTTTACACAATGTATCAGTAAGTTGGCACACTGTGTCCTTGCAAGCACGTGGGTGCCCACTCGGATATTCCACCCACTGGATTTCAGTCATATCATTTGGGCCGATTTCGAGCATCAAATGAGCCATTGGCGTTCAATTCCGGACCCAACGTAAGAAATGAGCTCACAACTCAGCTACCAGAGTATCATATCATCTTCACCTGTAGCAGAACATCCACTAATAGCTAGCAACTGGACTCTGAACCGGGCGTCGCAGATGAAGTCCACTGGGTTGGGGTGGGGTGGGCTGTTTCTAGTTTGGGGAAGCCCACAGTCACCCTCGTTGAGCTCGCCTTCGGACTGAGGCACCAGCCGCGGCCGAAATGACTGTACGAGACCCAGTTGCAAGACCTCGAGCTAATACAGAGGTCTGAAGATAGAGGCGAATCAAACAGCATTCTCGACACTTGTCTTACACTTGGACGTGGCTACGTTAACACATGCTCGAACGGGAACCATCCAAGCGGCAGGCTGCGCAAGAGTGACAGGACTCAGACACAGCTGGATGCAGTCGCCTTCCTTCGTTACGCAGGTCGGTCGAGTCAATTTTAAGAAGCCACGGGCCCTGCCCCCGAGACGAGGGCAGGTGAAGTGCTCAAGAATGAGGCCATGTTTGGTCATACTAGAAGGACCTTCGCATATCAGCCCGCAGCTCAAGTCCTCCTCTCGACGCAAATGATGACTCTGCCATCTGCCGGAATGCAGCTGCATCTACATTACTCTATGCTGCTCCAAGGTGCAGGTGCTACTGGAATATTGCAGCTGTTTGTAAACATGTGACTGTACATTTTCCGCCGTACTCTGCTGTGAACGAATTTTCGATGCCGCCCTCGGACAGAAGCTGTATAATATTTGCCACCTCAAATCTTCTCTGCTGTGCATCGCTGACGATAAGTAGAGTACTCCACAGCGGCCCAGAAAACCTCTCCGCTACGGGAAGTGCAGATGTGGTGCACCATTCGTGTGAAATACTGCGTCCCATCTTTCGAGTTGAGCGAGCGTCCGGGGGCCTCCGCTTCTCCGTTCAGAGATAGCTTTGCCATCCGACCGAATGGTGACTTGTAGGGTGAACTGGACGTAGTGACCCATCACTGAAGACGACTGCGGTCGCTAGAACGTGTTGAAGCGTAGAGGAAACGACTATTCACACAGCTGTGCGTAACTTTCCCATAGCCAAACAAATCCACAGCTTGCCTGTGTGCTTTGACTATACCAATCAATTCCACAGTCCAATGATTACAAACCGTTGACCACAGAACGTACAACTCAATCATGTCTATCACGGTTTTAGGGGCCCTGGGGCCTGACACATTCCAGTCTGTCCACCTGATTCCAGTTGCACTCGCAAAAATCCAAACATCATCGAGTAATGCAGCAGTTAAAGCTTGAGAAGCGTTCAGGCGCCAGAGATTCTAATTTCATACGCTCGCAACTGTCAAGGAGTAGCTTTACCCAAAACAAACTGCCCTCACTGCTAAAATTGCGCACCCATGCAAAAGCAGTACCTGGTTAAATGATGTATCTAACTACGTCACTCAATAGATGACAAAAACAGGCGATTCAAAAAATTTAACCATGGCACACTGAGGTTACAGAACCAAGGAAAAAAGTAGGAAACGGACACGGCACGGTCTGAGCGTTGTACGATAAGCATGTAACCAGTGATCGGACAGTCATTTAAACCCGTACCCAAGGCCGTCAGGGAATCAAGTCGGTTATCCTGTAGTCTCTGTTATAAGAACCGCGTGGACAGACACACTGCCGATTAACGATCAAGATTGAGGCCTGTTCCGCCTTCCAGGAAAGGCCTCATCGATTTATCGTCGTGCGGGGCATTTATGCTGAAACAACACGCTCACGGAGCATCAAACTAGTAGATATCTATACACGAGTTTTGAGGACAACGGCATGTCAACGTGCGCAAAGTATGTATATGACATCATGAACTGCATTCATGAGGACTACTGCCCATTTCCCAAGCATTTCCTTTGCTTCAGTATTGTACAAGTTAGAAAGAAGTCCATTTTCTAAGCCCTTAGAAACACTTAACACCACGTTCTCCACCACTCGCTAGAGGCAAGAGAACTCATTCAACTTAGGACTATGAAATTATCAGCAAAAATATACCATTCAGAGGAAGAAATAACAAAGTTGATTCACTTGCAACTCAACATGCAAACCTACAAACGCGCCGAAAGCAAACACACATCAGAATATACGTCATGCCAAGAGAATTGACCGTAACATGGTATAACACATCCAAAGCGGGTGGTTCCAGATCTCAGGAAAACTAGCGGTGTCGTCTAAGTTCAATCTGCTGCAAAAATGCACAGTTGATGAACAACTCAAGCTGATAAGGGAACAACATAGATCAATTGATTCTCATTCATCTACTCTGCAGACTCCCTAGACATTCATGGTGGACTCTTGATATCTCATAATCAACGAGGACAGCTAAAGCTCTTTGTCTGTTCACCTATATAGGCTTCTGAGCACAGAAAAAGGCTCAACATCGTGATTGTCTGGCTAATCTTAAGACATTTTCTTCGCATGGAACAAGAAGTTGGACAAGATGTCAGCTTGCTCCTCGTGGTTCTGGTGCAAAATCTTCTCTATGTGATCCTTACACACCGTAACCAGCATTGAGTAGCCGAATCAATACCAGATGCATTTTGTATCAATAGATGGCAGTGCAGACCTCTGATATCTATTCTCTTTCTTTAATATTCTTGATACAAGCCCATGGATCCCAAAGTAAAGAACAACGTTCTTCCTACGGCCCACCTCCCCACCCCTTCTATACTTCAGGCGAGGCATTCAGCCCTACTTTCAACACCAACCACTGTCAAAGAAGCACCAATCTTGTTCCTGTGATCTGGTGACCCAACCAACCACCCAGGTCGACTGTAATTGCATATGATCAATCCCAACATCTTCTCATCAATTGTTGAACCTGCATCTTCACTTCAATCACTAACACTAACAGGGCAAGTTTTGAGTAAAACCACGGGAGGTGAGGAAATTACTCACACAACAGCTGCATGAGAGGTCAACCAGTTTAACGATAGAACCCGGAGATCGGTTGTAACTTCCAACAGCTCTCCCAGTTCCAGACGATCAAGAGGGCTCGTCCAATTTTTCCAATTTACACTCGAAGTCTATATGTCAACGTGCTGCGACTTCTTTTCAGCTCCACCCGCCCACGAAATTCCTGCTGTACAAGTTCGGCACCACGAAGGGCACCTGACGGCGGAAGTCATTGCTCCAACTGAAATGTGGAGAAAGGAGAAAACCAAGAACCATAATATCTGGACAGAGCCAACATTGTACAGGTTCAAAGTCCACAGTGTCTGCCTTCCATCATCACCAGATAGTGCAGGGCCAATCTGCACTACATCTCATCCGAGGTAGGAAATAACCCACCAACACCGCCACATGATCAAACACAGTTAAAGTCCTAAATAAGTCTTGAACCTGGTCAACAAACATTGCCTGGTTTCAATGGCCATCTAGAAGGAGAGGTACTCGATCATCTGTAACGTTAACAGCATGACCCAGGCAACTGAAACCACATGATATCAGACTTCCAATTAATTACATAACCTTAAGGGCGGATCTTCTACCTAGGCACCAGCAGCACAACTGCAGTCTGCCTCAGCGCAGTTTCTAAGGCCATTACCAAAAGGACCCGTGATCAATGAAGACAGCAACAATGGCTACTGCCGAAGGAATGTCCAGATATTAATCCCCAAGAAACTAACCACAATTTTAATATGTACGGACACCATCCTCTACATTTATTTGGATGTTTACAAATTTAACAAGAGTTCAGGTATTGGCAGTTCAGAGTAAGAGAGGATCTGAATTCTCAGATCACACGACCACCTTGATCTGAGAGGTAAATGCATCCTCCCAAATGTGGACGGCAGGGCCCTGTGGAAAAAAGACAAGGAGATAAATCACGATTCTGATATGAGATATAAATTCCTCCCAATGACATTGTCTGAATAATCATACCGTTAATTTACTGGAAAGGAAAGTATCAACCAAACCCTCCAGTGGAGATCAATTCAAGCACAAAGAAGCATGAGTTGCAGACTGCAACGCACCTTGAAGCTATTGTTGAGAACCTCCAAGGTCAAAATCCATGGTGTAATCGTACTCTATTGTAGGAATGACTGTCGCCACAAATTTCAGGAACAAAACGAGATACCTGCAAGCCGCCAAAATTGCTGGTCAGTTGGAACATTTTGCTCAAGTTGAGAATTGAAATTCTCTAATAACTTCACAACAAACCGAGCTCAAGCTTACAAGAAATTCCCACTTGGCCGATTTCTCTGCGTTCATCTACTCTCACATGTCGTCGGAAATCGCCACAATAACCCACCCTAAACCCTAAACCTAGGTTTTGGCCTAAAGTAATCTGCCGTGGAAGTACATTAATTTAGGTGAATCAGGTCGCTTTCAATACGGGTCATGCTTTGAAGGAACACTTTCTCGCTGCTGGTGCCTTCAAATGAAGAAAACCCATAAGCCCAGCGGTGAATGCATATTTGGTGCATATGTAGGATTTGCAACAGAAGGTATTCTGTCAACTAACCTCTCCTTCAACGACGGGGCACGAAGCAGTCACGACGTTGAGGAAGAGGTAGTTGACTTTTGGCCGAAAAATCAACTACCTACTCTACTATGAATTTGGTTCCAGATCTCGAGTTGTTTAGGTGATTTCATTTGAGCAAATGGGTTACTTGCAACATATTTAGGGTAATTAAAGTTCAATAAATACTGAAATGTTTTCTCTGTATGATAAGAGGACACGGCAACTGACTCAAAACCACGCCACACATATCCTGGACAACAAATATGAGATGATACAACATACTTGTCCACTTCAGGATCTACTCCACGTGACATCAAAACATCTATTATCTTCTTCATGACTGCGCCGTGTCGGCATGGATGAACAGAAGCGTGCTTTCCAGCCATATGAGGGTGATCCTCAATTGTCACCTGCGACGCATACCAGATGTTAAACTCCTCTCTTGCATCAAGGTACAGACCCCATTCGCCACGCTTCTAAAACCTAGAGCTGTGAATATCATCATATGGCCATAGAAAACCAACAAGCACCTGAACTGAGGAAAAACCTTGCACAGGACTCACCGTTTTGCGGGCATGGTCTTGACTAACATCCTCCAACACTCGTTCAGGAGTAAGCAACATCCTCGTCTGGAAATCGAGACACCACACTGAAGAGTTACAGAACTCCCTGCTAATTATAAGATTCTCCTCATAACTTCCACTTGAGTTTTCCCTTGGACACAAAATGATGACTAGGCTTTAACTTGAAAAGTTCTTCTCAACTAACAAGATATTAGAATATGAGAACAGAGAACTCAAATTTACTACAACTCATATAAGGGTCATAATAATCCAGATCCATGAAGTACAGGAAGTTGAAAGATGGACTAATCCATCTGAACTCATGAGCAGGCCTCTGTAGATTAGGCATATGCCTATTTGTGCCGAATTGAAGCATATTAGGCACATATCCGTAATGAAATTAGGCACGATTAGGCATCATTGTTTACAAAAACCCATGACTGATATTCTATCGATTTTTATTCAATTTTACAGAGTATTGATTCAATTTCAGCAAGATCTTACAGAATAAAAAAATTTATACGAAACTCATTCTATTTGATTCAACCAGAACTTCTCACAAAAATAACTCGACATAAAAAATTTCAAATCTAGATAAATTGCTCTCAACCCCTGTTCCTGATAGCATCAGGTGAGTGTATCTATTTTTTTCAAATTTGCCTAAATCCCAAGTTCGGGGTCTCAGCTCGATCCACTACAGGAACTCTTCTGATATGTATCTTGCCTGTGTACAGTCACCATTATCTGAATGACTTTTACTTTCTTGGTCTCTATGAGCTAACGTAACAGCAGATCGGCGAGGTTATGTACAATCACGCGAATGATTCTTGCATGTATTAAGCAGGAATTCTCTCAGAAAACATAATCTCCCTGTATAATTGCTTCAAGGTGCGTTACATATCATACTGTTTACATTGGAGAAATCCTCTTAAAGAAGAAACAATCAGTGACATGTTAAAAACGTTCTTGAATTTCAACATTGAGAAGTCACTCTCGACAAGCGTTGTATTTTAAAACAATGAACCCAGTCCACCGACAAAGTCTACTAGTACGTTTGATCGTTTTGCTGTTCAGTCATTTTGAAATTTTTCGTTTTGAAACTACTCCAGAATTAATTTTCAGATTACGGACTCAAGAGATTTGAAATTAGGGATATTAGGCATCTATTTTTAGAATGCCTAATGTACAGAGGCCTGCTCATGAGTATTTGCCAGCTTAACCTAATAACCATAACCCTAAGTCTTGTGCGGCAAAGCTCGTTGAACCAGATTAAGAAAAAGAAACAGGGAGAACGACGAGACCGACGAGATAGAGGAACGAACACTACTCGAAGGTTCATAGTTCTAACGGATTTCTTCCCATCACAGTTATTTCGAACTTTCCAAGCGTCAACAAAAAGAGTTTCAATATATCATCCACTTGTTCAGCTCGAAGGGCCCAAAAACAATACACTCATAGAGAATGATCAAAACTTAGCAGATTATGACTTATACTAAATATGTAGGAAGCTAACGAACTAGCGATGGTACAAGTGGTGTAAAGTCGATCGACAAATGCCCATCAATCAGGACCACGGTATCCAAGTAGAGGGTATGCAGAGAGCTCACTCTTTGTTCCTATTTCTCTGGAGTTATGTCTACATATCGACACCTACCTCACAAACTCGTCAAGCTTGTCAAATCTGTGAGGTAGTGTACGACAACCTATCATACTAAGCTAGGCGTTAATGGTATCCCTCTGTTTGGCTTCTTGTTTAGTATATTTTAGATAATGTAATTCCATTGCTCTACACAGATCACAAGACCTAGCTAGAGCAACCAGTAAAGAGAGAAATAAAAACAACTGATACTTCTTTGTATGCTGTGTTGTTTACAGACCATTTGACATAGTAGGTGTTAGATTACATATGTCTCAGTGTGATACTGTTGGGGCTAGCCCTTCATCCTCTTTCATCCTTGTACAACTCGATGGGGTCTTCGCATCCTTTTTGTTCATTTACGGCGTACTTACAGTGGAGGAAAACCTTCATAACGAGGACAAAGCGACATCTGGTAGTGCTACCTTGCGCTCTGACTAAGCAACGAGACCATCACCTCCAATAACTGTTAAGTCCATTTAAGCAAAAAAGGAAGCGCCTGATATGATTCTAACAGCTAAAATAACAGGTACGCCATAGCATGTTGCAGATCGAACGATCTGTCTGAAACGATGGATGAACATGATAGAACGATCTGCAACATGCTATGTTCTAGGTGAACCCAAAGTACAGATTACTCCTGGGCTGCAAGAAACGGAGCATAGATTCTGGAAAAAAAATGTTAGCCCTAATAGGTTACAACGAAGGAAGATTGTGCTTTTAGAAGGCTGTGAATGTACACGTTACTTGCAGCATCATGCTTTGATTTATGACCTGTCATAGAGATATGACAAATGACGTAAAAACATAGGGCGATCGAAGTAGAAATAATGAAGAAAGTGCACCTTGGGAACAATGACATCGTCTACTTGTTTTAACTTTTGATTACTGATCGTTTAATGAAGAAGAATACTACCTCGTCATATCCAGTCAGCCACACTCGAGGCGTTTGATAATATTTGTCGTATCTGTAAAGGCCAGACGCATTGGGTGAGTAAAGTGGCAACATTAGTTAAGACTAAAACAATTAGGCGAACTTTCGGCATTCATTCACAGTAGGTCAAAACTCACGTAATGCTGACATCGTAAGTACGAGTTCGGAGAATATTGTCATCGTCTGGTTCATGTGCTACCAGGTATGTTTGTTGCAAAGTGGCCTGTTCAATGCACACAAACTCACTTTCTTAAGCCAGACAGCAAATCCAGCATAGAGTTTAACTCTCTATTTCCCCACATTGACACGAACGTATTGCACGCTCCATATTTACTAGCGTCCAAATAAATCGACCTCCATAATGGAAACGGCTAGCCAACTACCACTACCTTCACATAGGAAATGTATTACCTCATCGGTCTGCATAACATTATCTGAATCCTCAAATTCTGCCATGTCTGGCACGTCATCATCATCGTCTACGGCGGGGGCGGCGTATGTTGGTATAATGTTGATGCAACTCCTTGCTTCAGTTTCGACTGTATCCATTGAGGGTACTTCTTCGGGATCCTTCTTAGTATCTACAAACCAGCTGCACGAATGAGCTAACGTACCAATAACATGTTCTTAGCCCTCGCTTCCCCTTTTCCCAATTACCAGTTTAAGGTTATAAACAAATTGTATATCTCTATTGAGCCAACCTTTATAAACTCCCCGCATCATGAAGGTACGTATTTCAGTATTTGGACCTTCTTTGAAAAACAATACGTACCCGACGGTGCACCATGAGTTGCGAGCCAGCCCTCACCCTCATCGTCATCTGCTGTGTCCAGTAATACCTCTCCTCCGGCAGCCTCATATTCTTCTTCGATGGCCACCGCCCTGCGCAGGCATGGCACTGCATCTTCCCATCTCAGCTTGACTCCAACCTTTCTCAATCACAAGGCTCGAAATTCCGCGTAGCCACTACAATCAATGAGGCACACATAGTCCACAAAATATTCTACTACACTTTGAAAGGGACTTGTTACAAGAAACACAATCCAGCAAACCGTACACTTCTGGAACTACATGAAGTGGCCTGATGCTTCTCGTTGCGCAAAATACATGACAAAAACCTATTATGCAATCTAGTTTAGGTTGCCAGTGGATCTCTTATTCGTCCCTTCCCTTTCACGTTATGAGAACATCGCAGAGTAACCGTAAGCCTAACAACCCTGACAGACCTCAACTCATAAAACTTGAGTCTAGTCCTCTGTATTATGACGTACTGTCTCATTACCATTTCGAGTGATGAGAAACTGTTTGTCTGCAGGAAAGTAAGCTTTTCTCTTGCTTGGATCCCCAGCCTCCCTACCAATATCAACATGCCACGAAAGGAGAAAGGTAAGGAACTCATGAAGAATTTTCGATCGAAAATCAGTTTGCCAGCAAAGCCGTTCCAAGCGCTTCCTCAGGTCTGACGCTCAATCGTCTCAATAGAGTCTCGGCTAAGTACTGAAATCGAATTCTCGAAGAGGGGACTCAATTGAAGAGCGTGACGGTAAGAACTCTAAAAACATAAAATCTAAGTGCATTGTCGATAAACAAACGAAACTTGGAAAATATGCACTAGAAAACTCTTGAAGTGTACGTAACTTACGCTCTACAAGCAACTACAAGAACGCAATCTCATTTCGACAGTGACTGAATGTGTTCCTTGCCTGTTACCTAGATGATACATAAGGCGTCTCCTCTAACCATCCAAGTCAAACTTTTGGCCGAAGTTTGTGTGCACGCCAATTCAACGGTGTCACCAACAACGCGAGAAAATCTCCAGCAAAAACAGTATAACATCCAGAGGGACACCAGCTTACGAGAATTCAAACGGGTGCGTTTTTAGACACCGGCGAAAAGCCAGAACGAAACAAAAGGCTCTTTTTATCCCGAATACAGGGGCATCCATCCTCTCGAATTTACCGATTGGTTTTCCCTGGTATTACTTAGGGTTCGTCGCGTGCTTCCTTCTCCCATGAAAATTGTTTTGGAAACTACGGACGACTTGCAATGAACAGTGAATCATTCCCTGACCGAATTTTGACATAGGTGATGAGGACTCTTGAATCCTTGACAAATCTAGGAAAACGGGAAGCGGGCAAAGAAAAAGAAGAGTGCGACGTGGATTGAAGTAGAAAGGGTAGACTTTGCCTGCCACGGGGAATAGATTATTACCATGACCAAGTTGGGCATTTAGCCACCAAATTGTCACCCGCTTGAACAAATTCATCGGGAGTTAGAACACCTTTCTCTTTAAATGCAGACACCGTCCGTGGACCGGTGATTCGCTCCACTGCCCCTTTGAACGCATCGTGAAGCCTCTGTGTTAAAACCATCTCTGCTCCTCCTCCTCCTCCTCCTCCTCCTCCTCCTCTTCCTCCGCCTCTCCCCGCACACTCTCTCTCTCTCTGTCCCTCGGGAATAAAATTAAAACAGAAAGAAGATTCCGCCTTCGATGACTCCTTCAAGACGATCCAATCCAAGAATTCAGGACCGTGAACATACACGGGCCTTACAATTGATCAGGTGCAGAATCAGAGTCCGCAACTCTGTCGTACAGCTCTTCTCTTCCTCCTCTTCTTCTTCTTCTTCCTTCTTCTTCTTCTTCTTTTTCTTCTCCTTCTGCTTCTGATCTGCCCGTCCCGGCAGCCCCTCGGCGCTCCTCCTCCTCCTCCTCCTCCTCTCCCGTTTCGTCCGCTGCCCCCTCCCCCTGCGACTTAATCATTCACTCCCCATCCACCGTTGCCCCCACCGCAACCACTCCACCTTCTCGCTCGCTCGTGGTCCTCGTCGTCGCCTCTTTCGATCGATCCCGCACCGATGCCCCTCTTGTCATATGCCTGTTTGTCGATGCCGCTCAACTTCTCTCCGCGTCCGTCCTCCCTCCCTCTTCCTTCTTTTCTTTCCCTTTCCCCTTCCCCTTCCCCTTCCCCTTCTTGTTACCTGCAGAACGAGCTTCGTCTGCGTCTGCAATCATTTATTCATTGCCCCACTCCATCTCCCATCTCGCGGTGCCTTATTCCGGTCCTCCCCTTCCCCCCCCCCCCACCCCCCACTTTACTTCTTCCTCACATTCCTGCACCGCCGCGGCTTCGGGAATTCCTTGCCCGCACGAAAGAGGGCCTAGTTTAGAGTTAGTCCGCCTTCTTCTACCGCAGGCCTCTCACCAACCTCTCCCTCCCTCCCTGCGTGACACCCTGGTGGTTCACGTTGCGCCCAGTCATCGCGTCTCGATGTCGCATTCGCCCCTTTGTGACTCCACGTCAGCGACTCCATACTCCACGTAAGACGCGAATCGCAACCATTGATGGTTGCGAGTTCCATGTCCTCTCCCAGTTACTGGGATGCCTCATGATTTGCGGTGACCTACTGTGCGGTGGGCGGCTTTCCCCTTCTGGCCCTTTCCTAATTTGTCAATACCTAATAAAAGTACTACGCTATATCTTATGAAAGAATCCTATTTATTCTCCTATGAATTCGATTGATATATGGTCTATTGAACCGTTTTTAACAAAAATTCTAAATTGAGAATTTTGACTGAAAATCAAAATTTTAAAATTATTGTAATGTATCTTAAGTATCTTGAACGTACATTGTATTTTTAGATTTTAGACTTCACATACAAAACCTTCTTACCTATGTTAGTTTTGATATCTAATGCACAAATCAATTTTACGAGTCAAAAAAATTTATAAAAAATAATTTTTTATTTTCATTATTCTAAATTACTCTATATCATCATTTTATACAAAAATAATTTAAATAAAATTATAAATAAATCTTTTATAAACTAAATATAAATATTAAAATTCATAAAGAAACTTTGAAAACACGGAAATATGAAATTAAAATTATTATTAGATCGAAGGATTATGCTGGCGCATTACATAAATTATTTTGAATAATTTTTAATTTAATTATTTTTTAAAAATTTAATAAATAATATTTGAAGAGCAACATTCTGCATAGAGTACAGAACAAAATAAAAATGCAATACAATAATTCTGGTGTTATGAAATAATTTCATATGAGTTTAAATTCAACGAACAAGTTGCATTTGCATGAACACATCTTTTTTATGTTCGTCAGAAAATCTCTTTCTTTCTAACATAATGTGATTTTTTCCCTAAAGAAACTTTACTTATTGCGTATGTTTTTTTCAATAGAACGAGTTTTAAATAATTTTGATTCATTTCAATTCTCCCAGTAAACTCTATACTTGAGTTTTAGTGAATGTTAAAAGAATAAGAACTTCCCTAATAGTTTTCAGATAACATTTCAATATTGAATAAGAAAATTATGTGTCTTTTATTCTGAATTTATTTATACATTACCTAATTCAATAATTGATAATATATATATATATATATATATATATGCTTTGTCATTAAAAATTTATAATATATACAGTAAATTTCTGTAAATATTCCATATAAATCTGATATGATTGGAAGAAAACTCACAATGATTGTACCCAACCTACTCTTCTATAAATATTTATCTCAATAAATTTGACATAATAAAAAAACATATAAGGATAAATCTATGTATTTTAATTGTGTCTAACGAAGAAAAAATCTAAATTTATAAGGTTCTTCAAATATGACTTAATTGTATTATTTGTGAAGACAATTCTAAAATATGCTTATTAAGTTAACAAAATTTAAAGAAACAAGTATTTGAGGAAAAAATTAATTTGTCAAATTCATTATCAATAAGCTTATGTATTCAATGCTGAGATAAGAAATGAAATATACATATCTCATAGGAAGCATTGAATTCAAATACTTCATATAAATAAATATGTAAAACGAAACAGGAGTCATATAATTTTTAATTATGAATATGTTATGTTGTAAAAAAATGTCATGATTGATATAAAAAATCTGTATTTTATTTTAAAAAATGTTTATGTTTAATTTTTATACTTACTAAAAATATTTATATATTCTATTAGAACTTTACAAAATAACTTAGTCTAAAATTTCAAATTTTTCTTTTAACCTGTTTTTTTATGCATAGAATATTCATCACATGCATTATATTAGACAAAGTTGAATACTTTTAACATGCAAATTAGTCATACAATCTTTTATATGATGTCATTTGAATATAATAATATTTGCACAATGAAACAAATCTGAAAACAATTTAACACTATAGACAAATCAAAGTTTGAAGATAGGTTTAGTCACAAGATGATGACTTTTTGAAAAATCTGAAAAACAGTTGTGTTATAAAAAATTATCAAATGATTATCAAAGTCAATGATAGTTGTTGATTGATCTTGTTTTTTGGATCTTGTTTTGTTATAACACAAAAGAATGTGAAGTATTCACATGGAAGTAGCATTGATATGATTTGCATTAGATTTGAATTATTTTAAAGCAGTTTTATTTTAAGTAATTATATCATTATTGCACACGTACAAAAGTTCTAAAGCAAATGATTATGGTTTCTCACTTGTAGTCGATGAATGTGAATTAAATTGGATACATGTATCCTTTGCTCTAAGAATATTCATCAATTTGTAAAGTTATGCTCATTCTTACACGGTGTAGTGAATCCACAATTTGATAAGGATACTGAGATTATAACATGTTAATTTTACCTCGTACCCTACGGATTGCATCCTTTTTCGCTATATAGAATTCAATTCCCCTTGTCAAGCCATACTTCCGTCCTGTCGGAGGATCTGAGCCATCGAATCGAGCATGGCGACGAGTGAGAGGATCTGAACAGAAGATACAGTACGTACAACATCAGAGCAACCCAGTCGGTCGTACGACGGGACGAGACAGGGAACCATGTGCGAACCACGTTGTGGGCTCTGGAACACGGTTGCGCAGTGGCTGGGGAATGGGCAGGGGACGAGCGGCGTGGGTCAACGATGTGGTCCAGAGCACGAAGACTGGTCATGCATTGCGCTGTGCTGCTGCAGTAGGCCTAGGCACAGGGACGCGACTGGACTGCGTAAGGTCGATGTACTACGACCACGCACGGTACACCGAAATACTGTACAGTGCAGTACGTAACGAAACAGAAAGAGCCCGCCAAGGGACAGGACCGTTCTTTGGCCCTAGAGAGAGCAGCAGACGAGAAACAAAATCCGGCCTTGGGGAAGGGGGAGAGGGAGGGGAGCACAGAATTTGATCCAGGACAGGGAACCATGGGCGAGGACGAGGGGGTAGAGTATCGGTGCTGCAGCAGCAGCAGCAGCAGCGGCGGCGTGGAGGTGCGTGCTCGAGCAAGCGAGCGAGAGCGAGAGCGAGTGGTGGAATTAGCGAGGGGCGAGTGGGAAAGGGCCTCCTCCTGCCACCACTTCGCTCGCTCGGAGAAGAGTTCCGGTAGTGCCAGCAGCAGCAGCAGCAGCGTTCGTATGGACCAGCCCCAGAGGCTGTAGCAGAGGAGAGCAGCAGCGAGGAGAGAAGAGAGAAGAGAGAGAGAGAGAGGGGGGAAGGAGGGAAACGCAGGCAGGCAGGGGCAGCGGCAGGGGCAGGAAGAGGCAGGACGAGCTTGAAGGGGAGGGGGAGGGGGGAGGGAAAGGAAAGCGTGGGGAAAGGGAAGGGAAGAAGGACGAGAGAGAGAGGGAGAGGGAGAGGGAGGGAAGGGAGGGAAGGAAAAAGGAAAGGAAAGGAAAGGAAAGGGAGCCCGGGCGAGTTTGAGGAGGTTCGAAGGAGCAGCAGAGCAGCAGGAGAGCAGGAGAGGGAATCAAATGAGGGAGTGGGGAAAGCGGGGCCGCCGAGGTTGGAGAGCTTGGAAGCGAAGCGAGAAATGAGCAACATTTGCGGGGAATTGGGGCACCGACGGAGGAATGCGTGAGATGGGATGAAGGCAGGCACGCGACGGAGGTTTTGGCCGAGTGAGTGAGGGTTGAGGAGCGCGGCGACGTGTGGGGATTGGGTTCTTGAAGGTGGGGGGCACTGGGGGCGAAGGGCAGCAAGCGAGGCATGATGGATGCCGAGGGCGAAATGGATGCGGGCGGGGACGACCAAGCTGCTGCAGCAGCGCCCCTGCAGGCGAAGGGCGACGATGGGTGCTTGAAGGGAGTGATCGGCGCGGAGTTTGCGGAGGGTCGGGACAGGTGGGATGTCAATCCGCCGAGGAGGGTTGTAGGGCTGAGCGACTCGGCCGTCGCGGTCGAGCTCAACGCGCAGGGCGGCGTGTCGATCTCGACAGGTGATTATTCGCATATCGAGGATCATGAGATGGACGTGGTTCTGATGAATGGGTCAATTGATGACACCTCTGCTGCTGCACAGGGCTTTGTGAACGAGGGCTCGAATCTGCCGAAAGAGGCGAGTGAACTGGGAGCTCTCGGTAGGTATGTGATGGAATGCTCTCCAGGTAGAGATGAGTTTGTCGTGAACGAAGTTGATTGCTTGAAAAATGAGCATTTAGAGGTGTTTGAAGCTGACAATGAATTTGGGTTCGAAGCACGAGCCGACAGCGAATCAGCCGACTTCGAGCACTTCGTCCGGGCGGAGGAGGCCTACGAGGCGGCCCATGCCCCCGGTTCCATTGACGAAGGTGAGGGTTTACAGTTTCAACAACTCCTTGCTGATTCTGAAGTCGAGGATAACCCCGACCTCTCGCAATACAATGATGTAGACTTGCCTGAAGCTGCTGCTAGCTCCAGGGTCTCGTTGGAACCGGACGAGAGCTTATTCTACGGGCAGGTTTTCGAGGGCCCAGGTCGAGAAAACACGGCTCATCTGTCCATGGAGTTGGAGAAGGGCTTGCACTGCAGACAAGTCGTCGGGCGTAATCAGGTGGTCTGTACTTCTGATTACGTCGTCGACGCCGATGGAGGTCCCCATTATGAAACAGGCAATTACAGCCAAAGCCTGCTGTGCGACATGGAAGGCGCAGGTGCTCCCAAATTTGAAGAAGCCGTCGCAGCTCACGGAGAGGGTATGCCTGCATCGCCAGTCCCTGATGAACCCAAGCCCGACCTTGTCATAAATACTGCAGACGACATGGTGTCTTTGTGTCAGGAAGTCGCCATTTTATCAGAACCCGATGAAAATTTTGACCATAGGGTTACGTCCCAAGAACAAGTTGGCGCAGGAGGTGAAGCCGCTGACACACTTGATCGTGTGGTCGTTTGTCCTGAATATGCTCCCGGGGAACGGCGTGTCGACATGAGTTTGGCTTCTGCAGAAGTCGAGGGAGTGCTGCAAGCCGACAGGGATTTTTCAGGCGATAGTTCACACAGAGCGGGCACGGTCGAAGAAGCTATGGTTCATGAAGCTGAAACATACCGACGTGCAAATTGTCACGGTGATAATGACGTACCGCAGGGGACTTATTTGATAGGTAACCCAGATAATTCTGTAGATTCTGAAGGACGCTCCAAAGATGCTGAGATTGTCGAGCAATTTGCCAAGTACCGCCACTACACTGACGGTGAGACCTGCTGCGAGGTTTACAGTCCTCTCGACACCGAACACCCTGATAACAGGTATCCGGGTACAGCATCCGAGGCCGAGAAAGGGCAAGTTCTGACGCAAGGCTACGACGAATCCATGTCAAGTCATGATCAGTCAGCGCCACTTGATCTAGAAGCTTGTGAAAGCTCAGGAATGGACATGGACCAGGCAGAAGTCATGAGAGTTGATGAGTCAAGCGCTGCACTCTTAGCAGCCGGAAACGAGCACGAATTAGTGGCTATGGTAACGGAGTCGCTGAACTCTGATGTCGGGTACGATGAACGAATTGGGGAAGATATTGTCGAGCATGTATCCGAAGTAAGTGATCTCATCGTACCCGCTTACGGTGAACCCAGGTCGGAGACTTGCCATGTTGAGGTAGGAGGTGAAGGCATATTGCCTGACCGTGTGCAAACTTCCAAGAGTTTCGAGGCTCAAATTATTGAGAGTTCCGACGGCAGTGGGTTGAACGCAAAGGGGAACGGTCGAGAAGAAAGTTCGAAAGAGGTAGCGAGCAAAGGCGGCGTATATAACAGGGTTTCTGAAGATGTTCAACATCTCGATTCGAGTTCCCAAATAGTCGAAGGTACACGAGGTATTGAACCTGTCTCAGCCACGTATGAATATCTCTAGACGTAACCAGCCTGAGTTTGCTGCAGGCTCTCCTGACGCTATGGTTGATGCGAATGCTGCAGTCATCAACTTGTGTATGGATCATAATTTGATGCCAGGAAGGACTCAGATAAAGGTTGTCTGGAGAGGAAGGACGGCTATCCTTCACACCAAGTTTCTGAAGGATGTGCCGATTGTGTGATTCTCAAGCTGTCTCTACCATCCGGTAGTGAAGTATCGCCATCCACATCGCTTTTAACTGTCGGACAATTTGTGGATGTTTGTGAATCAGGAGGGCCTGTTACTGATAGTTCCGTCCAAAGCAATGAGGTTCTCAGATCCCATGAACAGGGCGCCATGTTGATGGTGGAAGATAAGGTTCTCCCGAGCAAAATAGAACTCGAGCAGGTTGAAGCCAGTGGGAGCATTAAAAACCTCCCGATTCAGCTCCGAACAAGTGAGGTTGCGTCCGGTGTCCACCAAATAAAGCCAAGTGCAGAAATAGCAGAACCTTCCGGAAATCGCAAGGCAAGAGATGATTCAAAATCGAAATCTCCACAACCAGAGGCCGTCGGCGTGCCCTTGTGGGTGAAGGTATGATGAAGCAGAATTGTTTGTAGAAAGCCAGATGAGATGGACTGATCCCTTCATATTACTGCGAGTCAGTTGGCCAGAGAACGTGTCCACTGTGTAAAAGTTGTAAGTTGTAATCAGTTCGAAAATTTATGAGGATCTTGAGAGCTGATCACGGGCTGACATGAGTACTTGTTCTGATCTGTTTAGTGGAGGGGAAAGTGGCAGCCCGGAATTCAATGCTGCACAATCGATTGTCCTCCTGCGACTTTAAAAGCGAAGCCCAGCTACAGCAAGAAACACTACATCGTCGTATATTCTCCCACCGCCAGAAATTACTCGTGGGTAGATATCCAACACACGTGCTCCATATCTGAGGATCCCGTGCCTCTCTTCAGCGGCACACATGAAAGTGGACGGGATACTGTGAAGGATGTGTTCATAACACGTAAGAGAATGCTGTTAAAACTCGGAGGAGAGATGCTTGATATTAGCGATCGGCTCCACGTAAAGGTGATCAAACGTCGAGCTGCATTGCTTAGCTGTAATCGTTGGGACAAAACCTGCAGCCATGAGTGTCGGATAGACTGTAGGCAGAGCCGGAGCACAAATTCGAGCACGCAAAGGCTTTCTGTAGGTTGTCCACGCTTTGCGCTGCCGTAGCCTGGAGCAGCCTTTCTGAAGCGAGATGCGCCTAACGTGTCCTTAACGTCAACCAGGAGCGTCCATAGCCTAGGTCTCTTGCGCGAGCAGTGTCGCCATAGTCCCTGAACCGCATGTGCTGCGCTGTTGTGATCAGGCTGTCGTGGAAAGCTCACGGAATGTCAACGTCTGGAAGAGTTTCGCCACAGAAGCAGCTGCGGCAACAACCTATGCCCAACTGGGGACTCTTCTCGTCAGTCTCCATCTTGTAAGGCCGAATCTTCTGGGTCCACATCTTGGGTGTTCATTTCTTGTGGGGTCTGCAAGCTACATTTGTTCAAGAATTACATAGAGGAATGATCCGTCATTTTGCAACTCGTCACCAATGAAAGTGTCTCCGATTAGGTTGATTATTATTGGGTTTGCATCCACGCTTGTCTACGTATATATAGATGTATATGTTGACCGAACATATCAATCGAGAACGACTTGACTGGTTTATAATACTTCTCGACGAAGTTGAATAAGGTCAAGTCTCTCTTGCGATCACAAATGCGTGCACGTGGAGTTACGTCTAGTTACGCCGATGTCGCCTGTCTCGCGCCGTTATAATTGGGGAGAGTTGAGCATTGTTTGCTACGATTGTTCATCACTTTCTTCATAAGATCGTTTTCTCTTGCCCAAGGCTGGTCATACTGTCGCTCGTCGTGGGCTCTGAGTCTGACCGTATGCCATCATGCAGGCCATTGTTCGTGAATATATCAAACCAACTTGGATGATGAAGCGGCATGGGCTTTGGAAAGAGGAGTGTGTGAGAGCAGAGAGTGCCGCAACGGTGCAGAAACTTACGAAGGTATAAGCACTAGTTCGTAGCGAGAAATGAATTGTTTTGATATTTCTGAACCGTGTGCATTCTAATGTTTGAGTCTTTAACAAGGCTTGATTCGGTGTGGTACCAAAATGACGTCCTTCTTGGGAACAAATGAGAATCTCGATTTGGAAGAACGTGAAGTTTCTGAGCGAGTTGTGTCGGGGATGGCTACAGGAGTTGATCAATGCAGTGTTGTGGGATGATGTGGGACCACTTTGGAACGAGCCTGACCAGCCAGAGCTTGACCCTCAGTGGTCGAACTGGAAAGGGGAGGCTTTTGAAGAGAAGGAAGAGCCTGATACTGATACAGATCCCAAGTCTGCCGGACCTTGCGAGAAGGATGCTGGTCAAGGGAAAAACTCCTCCGCTGGTAGCTCCAAGCGATTTAAGGAGCAAGCAAGGGCACGGCGGCAGAGGCCACATTCTTCCGAAGGCTTAGAAAGTACCCCGCAAAAGCGCTCTAAACACAATCCACGTAGCTCGGAAGGGGGTACGGTTGGGCGAGCGATAACAGCGTTTCGTTCACCTCTTGTCCATCCCACTGGATTGTTACAAAACCAACCATGTGTACCTGTCTTAGAGGCGGACCGCTGCCACGAAGTGATATCAGGCGATACTTTAGCAAATTTGAATGGACAATTGGCCCTCACAATTACTGAAGCTAATACAGAGCCACTAGCTAGTGGTGATTTGTCCTTGCAAGTTGCTGGCTCCAGTGCTGGCTATTTTTCCGACAGCTCAGAAGGGGATGAATCGAAAGTTTTTGAGAGGATTGGTAAAAGTGCTGCAGCTAGTATGGCTGAGGGATTAATTGCTCTGGAGAGTGGACTATGCTCAGCGTACTTGAAAAATAAGGGTCGGCGTTGTAATCGTTTTTCAAAGAAAGAAGGAGTGAAGTATTGTGATAAGCACATGTACCTTATTGATCCAGAAAGCGTCGGGAAGAAGGTAGCTATCGAAGGGAATATAGCATGGCAGAGTGGTTTATGTTCGGCTTTTCTAAGAAGAGAGAACAGACGATGCGCTCGACAGGCTAAAGAGGGCTTCAATGGTTATTGTGGGTTTCACGTCCATTTAGGGACAACTGTTAGTGATAGGAATGGAGACGATGCAGATTCACTTCAAAGGGAAGATGGTGGCGGCGGCAATTCAGTTTTCTCTTCTGTGAAGGAAGACCGATGTCAAGGCATCACAACTCGCGGTGTACAATGCACGCATAGAACTAAGGATGGTTCTTTGTTCTGCGTCAAACACTCCTTGAAAGGTGCAACTCAGACTGAGAAAGATGAAAGCAAGGGACAGACCTCTGGAGCCTCTAAAATGGACTGGCAGAAGGGGACGGAACCGGCGGTAAGCGTAGGAACTCAAGGACAGGCGGATAACATAGATGCCCAACATGAAGTTGCCTCTGAACCAGGCTCACAGGAAGGTGGAATTGTACGCACTCTGGAGTTGAAGTCTTTTGAGCATAGCAGGGGAAGTGGTGAAGGTTCCACTCGGAAGCGAAAAGCATTGTCCAGCTTCTTCACAGATAGGGCAGTAGGAGATACAAAGTCGTCAGCAACACCTAGCCAAGAAGCTCTCTCTCCTAAGTTTACCGATGGTAGGGCAAATCAGTGGACACAATGCAAAGGTCGTACTACGAGGAACGAGGAGCAGTGTTCCTTTAGAGCTAGAGAAGGCCACGAATATTGCTCAAAGCATCTTAACGCCATGGAGGCCAAGAAAAAGATTATTCTTCAACGAAAGAAAGATGAGGCAAATAATACAGAAACGAAAGGTTCTAGCAGTGTCCCTGGAGCCAGAAATTTATTTCACAGGTTTTTGAAAGGCGCTGGATCAGTATGCTCGCAGGGCTCGAGTGTAGAAGCAGGGAATCAGCTCGTGCTCTCAACCCGACTTGAAGCTGCCAAGGATGGTACGGCGGAGGAATTAATCAAGTTAGTTACCGTAGAGATGACAAAGCTCCAGATGTTCCTTGATCCAGTCGACATAAGTGAAGGAAAGAAAAGTGATGGGAACTCCGGGCCGGTCTTTGTTGCTTCTTCCTCCTCTCAACCTCTCCGGAATGTCCTTGATGGTCCAGTTTTAGATCGGCAGCCATCTATCCTGGCAGGTGTTTTAGCTGATGATCGCATACTCGACGACATGCCTCTCACTTGTGGTCTTTGTGACGCCGAATTCCCTGCAGTTTCTGACCTTGGGAGGCACTGGCAGCTTGTTCATAAGAAGGAAATCAGCCTTTTTGTCAAAGGTCATGCCTGTCGAGTCTGTGATCGCCTGTATACAAGGAAGCAGACGGTCATGACCCATTGGAAGAAGAGGCATCAGTCAATCGAAATGAATAATCCTGACCTGTCAGTGTGTTTCGCTTGCGACTTGCGGTTCAACGAGGATGATGATCTGCTGAATCATGTCATCGGTGGGCACCCTTATCAGCTCAGCAGTCCATCCCTGAAAGAAATGATTGCACAGAATAGAGCCATAATAGGTGCCGAACAGGAAGGTACAGAGTCCCTGAAATGCCCAGATTGCCTGGAAGAATTTGATACACATTTGGGTCTCTATCAACACCGTGAGAGATTTCACAACCCACTGGAACTTGAAGGCAACGGTGTCAAATTCTCCCATTTAGGAGACTTCAAGCCTGGGGAAAGCAATGAATTTGGAACTCATTCGAATGGGAAGTATGTGTGTCGACTGTGTGGGATGAATTTCCCAATGTTACCTGACCTGGGACGTCATCATCAAGCGGCGCATATGTTGTGTACTAAGGTAGAGAAGCCAGTTCCGCCTCGAGGAAACTTGTCGAGCAAGAAGGAAGCGGCATCTGAATCTGGTCGTATGAAACTACCAATACGAAGAAAAGCTGAGGACAAATCTGCAGCCTCTGAACCTAGTTTTGGACCAGCTCGAAGGAAGAGGAAAAAGCTGAGATTTACACCTGGCTCTAAGAAGTCTCTTGAAAAAGACACGAAGGGACCGGATTCTCTTCGTTTACATGTACAGGCCGTTCTACAAGGTGCGACCCTCAGGAAGCGACACAAGAAGCAGTTGGGCGAATTTAGTTTGGATCCAATTGGAAAGGACTTATCGTCCTTGACGAAAGTTGATTTCACCTTACCTCGTGATAGTGTATCTAACTCCAACAGCTCATCTCCCAACGATATTGGTTTTTCTTTGACTCGCACCACACCCAATACACTATCCCTAACCAAACGTGTCGAGACTAATTTTGAGTCTGTTCAAGAGAAGTTCAAGCTTCAAGCAGATAAAATCTTCACTGATTTTTCACAACTTCACGGCGAGACAAGTGTAAAACATGAGTCCCTAGGTGATGGACCTTTGTATTCAAACGACTCAGGAAAGCCCAGTTTGAGCAAATTATCAATCAAGCAAGATCATGACCTGGAAGTTTTGAAAGACATCAAAACCGAAAGATCCAAATTACCTTTGATATCGTCCACTAGTTCCCAAGAAAGATTGACATTTTCCGATAACTCCAAGAAAAGGCCAAAGTTCATTGTAACCTGCGAGGATTTGAGTGGCGGCCAGGAGCCAGTCCCAATTGTCTGCGTCATTGATCATGATGTGCTCGTTCAGATTAGAGGCTTTACCAACAAGGAAAGCAGTGGGAAGAATGTATATCAACCCAGTACTTTCACGTACATCACCAAGCGAAGATTAGACCCTTCTTTGGGTTTAGTCCCCGAGGTACGTGCATCCTTCATGAACCACTTATAACGAATTATGACAAAGTACTTATGTATCATGTTTAGCTGGAATTATGTACCTTTATCCTGGTGTCTGTCAATAATACGTATTACATCTCTACTTCAGTCGATAGTTGATGAATTGGAATGGTCCTAGTACCAATTTACCCACAATCTCAAAATTGAGATAAGAATAGAGGCCTGATCTTGGTTTATCGCCTATTTTATAATCTTCATGTCATGACTAAAAAGAAATTGAGCTTGAAAAAAAGGACATTATATTTCGCATTACAATTTGAAATTAATAACCTATACTTTCAATTCACCTAAAACGAATGGAATGATTAGCTTATCTACAATATCATTCAGGCGACTTCATAGGAAGTTGAGACAGTTATCGAAAGAATGAGCTTGACTTGTGTTGAAGTATCTGCGCAGTGAACATATTTACACAGTAGTGTCCCCTTTTGTGCTATCTGCTATATCTTTGCAAATGTAAGATCTCTAGTATCAATCATTTGCGTGAGTTGGAGCCTTTAACAAGGTAGAACAATAGTACCGTGGTCAGCGGAATCTCTTACTTTTACACATGAGGTGCCCTTGAGTGCACTTTCGATACCTGTAGGTATGAGCAAAGACCAGGATCGCATACCATGTTTGAAAACGTTGACCCTCGGCTTGATGGATGTTTGTGTTTGTACGCAGAATTACAAAATTGGTTGCAACTGTGGCAAAGCGCAGTGCACACCAGATGCATGTGAGCACGTGAATCTCTTTGACTGCGATAATGCAGAAGCATGTGATATATATGCCAAACCAATGCGTGGACGATTTCCTTATGACGATCAAGGTTGTATCATTCTTGAGGTATGAATTTTTGTTTGGGTATGACGGACTAGCTTGAGACCCGGAGATTCGACCCGAACCCTTTGGGTCGCCGGTTTATTTGGCCCTATCCCGCGTAATAGGAACTGTTAGGTTGGGTAGCCGTTTGAATTGAAACATGACCAGAACGTTTGGTTGAACGTATGATCATCTTTTGTTCGAATCTTCTAATTGCAGCTACTTTTGGTTTCAACGTAAATTCGTGTTACTCCTACTAGGAAAGTTCATGGTCTTCTGACAGGTTGCAATCGTCCCATATCGGACCTTTTGCTATAGAGTACAGTAGCCTCCCGCTTCAGTAAGCACCCGTTTAAGTACGCATTATTTTCCAAAAAATAGGGTTCAGATCTATTTCGTTCAACATGTTATAGATAGGCATTTTGCGTAAGTTTTGAAGAGTGCACTCTGGAAACGATGTTCAAGAGTAACATCGTTACGGTGAAGATCTTCACCGTAACGATGTTCACTTTACACTGTCGAAATGATGTTCCAGATATGCATACGCTAAAAATGGATAAAAGAGGTCGCTTTAAATAGAGGATTGAAAAGTCTTTTCTTTAGCTTCATCAGATATTAAAGCAGATCGTAATATGCTCCCGCTTGTCCCACACATTTCTGATATCCTCTTCACGAACATCGTACTAGCGCGCTAGAGCCCTTTTACTAGGAGCATCCGTGTTGCTCAGCTTCGCTATTATTTCGCATCGTTGGGACTCATTTAGGCGTTTCCCGTTAGGTTTCTTCGACATTGCATGCAAATCAAACTTAGGCGGGAGACTACTGTAACTTCATTCGCAACCTGTACATAGATATTTGACATATTTTGTGTCTTCAATACAGCATTGGTCCACTAGTCCTAGAGGTGAAGTATTTCTCAGAGTTCTGGAATAATCGTTCTTTGTCGCTACGTATGTGCAGGAAGGCTATCTGGTGTACGAATGTAACTCTAGCTGTCCATGCCAACAGACTTGTCACAACCGAGTTTTACAAAAGGGTGTCACCGTAAAGTTGGAAGTGTTTAAAACTCACTATAAGGTATCAAAATATGCAATCATACAATAAGAATTGGATTTTTTGATAATCTATAGTCTTGATTTGGAAGAATATTAACCTGCTTATGTATCATATCAGCAGATTTAATGAACTTTTTTCACGATCTTGTAGCGACTTTTACAGTATCTGACTCCACTGGTAGTATGTGAAGGTTGTGTACGCTGCTATAATAAGCTCCATATATTTTATTTCTTAAGTAATCTAGTTTGACTTTCATGAGCACTCCTCAACAGGTTGTTGGGTCTATGGTTTTCAGGCTATGACAAGCATTTAGTACAGGTTACATGTCTTACGTATTTGACTAATACTAATTGATTTCGAATTAACGTAATTTGTGATGACTTATATGACAATAATGACGACCGACATGGCGTAAGTCGTCGTATTCTTGCGACATGATGACTTACGCTATGTCGCAAGAATATGAGCACTAGGAAATGGTGATTTTGAGTCATTCTCGATTATATGTAGGGTTGGGCCGTGAGAGCAGCACAGAAGATCATAAGGGGGACCTTTGTATGTGAATATATCGGCGAAGTTCTTCATGACCAAGAGGCAAACAAGAGAGGAGAGAGGTAAGTAATTCAATCAATTTCAAAAAATAATCAAGTAATTTCTTGTTGCATTTTGAGTAGTTACATTTTTTTTAAAGATTGCATTGCAAGCACCTTCGCTGACCCGCTATTCTATTTCCGAAGTAAGTAGACCTTTGGACTGTTTTTAATTGCCATTCCCCAAGATTTGACCAACCTATTTCAGTATGCAAGGTAATGCCGGAGATAACAAATTTGCACAATGTGTGTCGTGACTCAAAACTTTATTTTCTCAGGACACGTTTCTAGGAATCTGTGTAACTGAGCTGTAGTTGTATACCTTGAACTCTGAAGTAATCGAAGATAGCTTTGATCAGTTTATTGGTAGAGAAATATATTTTGTCATTAGGAATGAATTGATATAATCTTGAGGGTGCTTAGCAGGTCTAGTGAAGACCTTCATAAGCATTATATTCTCATTTAAAAAAATTGTGCTCTTCGTAGAGTTATCGAAAAACACGTCAGTAGCTATGCATAAGAATTTGTACTTTATGATACTTTACTTGTTCAACTAGATCATTGGGAGGGTTACAAGAAGTTGGCGGAAATATCTCAAGACATTAGGCACATAATTATACAACCAAATCGCTTAAACTTCCTCTTCAGGGTTATCACATCTTCAAGTATGCAACAGTCTTTTTTTATATTTCCACGTGTTGTGAGAGTATCTCAACTCTGCTGTGTTTGCAGGTACGATCAAGTGGGTTGTAGTTATTTATACGACATTGATGCACATCTGGATATATCTGGAACAGGAAGACGATCCAAGCCCTTCGTTATTGATGCAACAAGTCAGGGAAATGTTGCAAGGTTTATAAATCACAGGTACAAACTTGGTGAATGTTCTTACGATGCACACTCAATGGTGTTCGTTGAACTTTACACAAACTTGAGATTTTTCTGGATGAAAGTCTTGTTCTATCCAAAAGTCTGGTTAAACTGTAATAACAACTGCATAACGAGAAGGACACACATGAGTCTTCGTGCAACTGAAGCGAATTGTATCTAAATAGACATACGGTCTTGATGAGAAAGTGATTGGTTTGTTTGGTTAGCACATGTAAATGTTTTACAGTAGTTAACTACGAAGAGGAAAGGGAATAGTCTAATTCCGGTTTGTACCTTGTATTTTCGTGAGCAGTTGTGCACCAAATCTGGTGAATTATCAAGTTCTTGTGGAGAGCATGGATGCTCAGCTAGCCCACATTGGGCTTTTTGCAAGCCGAGATGTGAGTCTACCCAAAATTACTCATCAATCACAAATCTTTAGGATGAAGGAGTAATAGTATGGCTTTGAGTGCGGACAATGGTGATCCTCATGCTGTAGTTAGTCATCTGTAACTCATTTACGAGGGATTTTCAACTTTGCACTCATCTTCCTTCCGTTCTTTGTGATAGGCATTACCAGTCTCGATAAAGATTAATGTGTCTTCGTATTTTGCAGATTGAAATTGGGGAAGAACTAGCCTATGATTATAGGTATAGATTACTCCCTGGCAAGGGTTGCCCTTGCCACTGTGGTGCTAAAAATTGCCGAGGGAGATTGTATTGAGTCAGGCAGATCAGTGCTAGCAATGATTGTTAGCAACATTGAAACGTTGCCGCAGTGATTGTTATAGTAGTCATCTGGCGAGAGATATCGCTTGTTTAATATGCATTCAATATACCCGAGAACAAACCTTTGAAGAGGGTGTGCAATATTTTAGAGAATGCACTGAACAAGTGAAGTCTTCTTTTAGTTTGGGCACCCCTACTTGTAAAGTCTAGTCTGATGCCCTTGTACATGCTGCTGATTGATATACTGGGACTGGGGGTTCCTCTAATTAGGCTTATTGTGACACAAACTTCTCTCTCCATTAAGTGGATGAGAATCAAACTATCCTGTCTCAAATACGGTATTTTTGAGTTTTCAGACGATCTGATGATGTTTATGGTGATATCCAGCAATCAGTGTGACAGGATTAGTGATCAAGGCCTTTGATCATGTTATATAATCAAATTGTGATCAAAGATCATAAATTATATCTCATAGTGGGACGATGTAATGAGATGAAAATGTGTGCCACAGACCTTTCCAACAAACCCAGATTGTGGTAAAGTGCCGCGCCTATTGGAGGGATCCGTCTGTCTGGGCTCCCAGCTGAATCTACCTTGTCCGACAAAAGCCTGTCCATTTGCGCAGTAGGAGTGACCTGGAAATCTGTTCAAGTTTTTACGGATGTATGATCAGTTGTTTGGCCTCTGATGTACCCAGAGTACGGATATACATTAGCTGAATCCTCGCTGTGATACTCCATCCATGCAGTTGTTACAGGATAAAACTCAAATTCCACTCCTGACTTCTTGTACACGGAACGGGCCACGCACAAATAATCGATGTGCCAAATCCTGAGACTCTAAATCCTCAGTATTGAATGCAGAAGCGAGTTCCACACAGAAAAGTGATGTGCCAAATCCTGACACTCCGAAATCCACAGAGTCAAGTACATATAAAAGCAGCCGCGAGTTTCCAACAAGGTTCTGGAATTCTCACTATTAAGAGAGACTGTATGTAGCACGAGGTTGTAGTTATCCTCCATCTTCTGTCGAGATGTTGTACTACAACTTTTATTAACACGAGACCACGAGCCTCGTTACATTCAAGGTTAAACGGCACCTTCAAGTTGATGTGGTTTGAATGGATCTGATGTGAAAGTCATGTTTGAAGATTTCGAGATCGATACACAAGCTCCTTATCTATGAAGACCTTAACTACGAGTACTCCCTAACCAGCCCATTAAGACCTGGGTGCTTACACGCCCGTATCGTGGTAAGCTTGTGATGAAATTCTCGTGAGTCCGGTATCCTCGAGAGCAGCAAAGGAAACAAAGCTAAGCAGAGATGCGTCATTCTTCGGCCAAGTGGATGTCCACTTGAAAGTACAAACAGTAGTATATATTGGGACAGACTGGAGATTACAAAAACATTTCACAATTATTACGTAAAATTTTCTTTTGATTTTTCTTAATAAAAGAATTTATGTACTCTGTGCGGAAATGTAATCAATAATAGTTTTTATGAAGTTCTTTGTAATGTTATACGGCGTTCAACATAAAGAGTGTGATGCTAGAAGATCCAATTCTACTAAAGTGTTAGAGCATGAGGAAAGTCATGAGTTGAAATGAATTCTTGACTAGGATAGTTGGAACAAAAGATAACGACCTGCCTGTATATTACCCAAAATTAGCCTTTGAAGATGATGTTGTATACTTCATTCATGCATTTCACACGAGTATGTGAAAGTGTTGTAATTTGTAGTGTAAAACAATTATTCTAGTTTAGAGCAACATGATTATAAACGTTTTTGTCTTTGGATCACACAAAAGACAAGAAACATGTAGGGTATCTAATACCTACTATATGAATCCTGAGATATTCATATTAGAGAAAAATCAAATGTATAGAATTTGGTATTCAGGTACTTAGGCATAGCAAGTGTTATTTTAGACATCAATGTAATCTGAGGTTGTCACACACATGGGAATATTGATTTCTTTTCGTTCATTCTCATTTAATCTTATACAAGATGTTTCTAAGAATCAAATTGCTCATAATTTTTAATACACTTTTAAAATTTACTGCAATTGTTACTGTTGTGTTCTTAATGATGCATATCAAAGCCAACCAACCAATATTATTCTTCATTAATATTCTTGATATGTTGCTATGGCGGATATAAGACTTTATTCAAGATAGTAAAACCTTTTGCTATTGAACTTTATGTCATATTCAACCATCTAGAGATCATTTCTCCAATACACAATATGAGCTTTTCTTTGTCAACTAGAAGCTATAATTTGCCTATATCCTAACGGTTTTTTTACAATTCATACGCGAAAATATTGAATCATGGATGAAAGCATTGGGCAGGAAAATCTTTACAAGATGTTGCTTAAGTATATATCTCCAATCTATTTGAAGTGCGAACCTTGCAATTATTATGATATTGATTATGTGGATAATTATTGATAAGTTTACATTATCATTATTTATAAGTAAAATTATTTGATATTTATGTACATGATAAGAATGTCCATTGTGATCAAGTTTTTTACAATTAGAATCTGTAAGATAATCAAAGTGGTTAATAAGATCTTAAGCGAATGCATAATAAGTTTTTTTGCTTTATTACGGAAAATATACTCTATTATTTTGATTATGCAATGTTCTGTGTTCATATGAACTCAAATTATGAACATGAGGTGAATGTGATTTACATGATAAAAATATAGGAATCATGACTTGACTATCACATTCCATTTGCTAGGTGTGAATGTATAAACCATAGAAGAGTTTTTTTTCAAGACTTTCAATCTTTAAAGTCTGGTTTTAGTCTAACGTATATATCATCATCAATTCACACATCATGTATATTGATTACATGAAGAAAAATATTTTCTCGTTTATATGAAAGTTATAATTGTTAAAATAATATTTCAATCATTCTCATAAAGTTGAACATCATTGTTGTCACTCTTGATATCTTTATTTTTGTATAGATACATCTTTGAGTTATTTTTAAGATATGTTGGGAAGTACATCAAAATAATTTAATTTTCTAGTTAAAATTAGAGACATAAAAAATAGTTTTTGTCTCCAAAGTCATGACAAGATATCACTTACTCTATTTTTTTCAATACCAATTGGAAAAAGACATTCAATATACAACAATCTATGTAAGTTTTACGCTTTCTAACTTTTATAAAATTGATTCTATCTATCAGTTTATCCAACAAATTTGTGCACTACTACAGCTTGTCTGCTCTCTTTCTTGAATATGAGTGTAAACTTGTGGATCTTGACTTATCGTAGATGAGGACTTTTGACAATTATCTCTCTTCTCCTAATTGATGAGATTGTTTCTTGGCTGGATGTAAACATCTCCATCTTCAGAAGTCACATGTTGATGTAATGGTATATTCAACGCTATGTACAGGATTTGTTCAACATGGCTAGTGCAAAGAAGAACTAAACCATGATATAATTGCAGGGTGTATATTTTTGCTAACTTCAAACATTTATAATATTTACTTTTATAGAAGTTGTATAAACTATTATATGAAAAGTATAGGTTGATGACATCCATAAACACTCAATTACATTTGGTGAGGAAATTATTAATATCGAAACCTTTGATCTCGCTGGTGAGATATTTTCGGTGTGGCATTTGGGTTAGCCCCATACTATCGAGTTGAAACTAGACTCAGCAGCTTCATCGACGATGTGGTCCCATCGATGTGCCTATTTACCATGTGGTGACAATAAAGAGCGCAAGTCAGTGACCGTAACAAAACGCCATAATCAGGGAGTTTTTTTATTAAATTGAGTAAATAATAGTAATAATAATTTTTTGGGTAAAATTTTTGCCTAAATAGTATTATTATTTAGGTAAATTCTTAAGGGAAAAAACAAAATAAAGCCATTATAGATATCGACCTTTGTATTAACATTAGGTTTGCGAGGCTATGGGGTGCCCTTGAGCCAAGACAAAACTCCCATCGATAACGTCACCCCTTGCAAGTCGACTAGTAATAAGCTCACATGTGTTGCTTGAATCCGAAGGAAATGGCGAGAGTTTCACATGGCAGTGGAAAATTAATCTCACCATGCGAAAACCCTGCGAGGGCACCGGAGGCTTACCCTAAAGGAAGAAGAAGAAGAAGCACCGTGGCAACGAATCTCTGGCACTACCAGAGGCCCCGGGGGGGAATAAAGGGCCGGTACAGTCGTGGTACTCGGGGGATCTGGTACCGAGTGGTGCGCGTCAGAGTCAGAGGCAGGGGACAAGGCCACCGGGAACCGGGAGGAGAAGGGGTCGACGGTGCGCTGGTCGGGAGTGCTGACCGGTTCAAGGGGGGCTGGCTTCCCTTCGGCCGCGGGACGCAGGCCTCCGGTTTCGCAGGTTTCGCTCGGCTCTGGACGAATCTAGACTGTCCGATAGCAATTATAGGCATGTGCCAAAATTACTAGAAACTTCGTCGCTTCTTAGGTTGGGTGGGGTGGGGTGGGGTGGGGGGGAGGTCCGGCCCAACCGCATGCGACGGTCGATCGCCGGGAGCGGGGCTCTGGCCAGCGGGCGATGTGCGGTTCGGGACGAGATTGCAGCCGCTGCGCGTGTTCGGAGAACCTCGGTGGTCGGTACCCGAGGAACCCGGTTCGGGGAGGGCGGGCGGGCGGGCGGGCGGACGTGCCGAGATCCGAGCCTAGGGTGGGAGTATCTCGCTGCCAGGCATTCCAAGCTGTCGATTGGTTCGTGACTGCCACCATCAGCGCCTCGAGCCTCGCTAATCAATGCAAACCGCGAGAAAGATATCCCACGCCTCGCTCCGAGCCTCGAGGCCATGGCGCGGCCCATCGCAGGCCGGGCCGTTAAAGTAGCGGCGCTGCCATGCGGTCTGGATCCGACGACGTAAGCCCCGAGTGCCTGAAGCAGCAGCCCCCTCCCCCCACCCCCACCCACCTCTCTCTCTCTCTCTCCCTCCCTCTCTCTACATTGTCCCGTCTCGTGGCAAGCCAAGCGCAAGCGCTCGCTCCAAGCACCCAGACCCCGAACGAGGAAGCGAAGGAAGCCCGGCCACGGGAGGCGCGGGGCTTGGGGGAGGGGCAAGGGGAGGGGCAGGGGGAGGGAGGGGGGAATTAGCGCGATTAGCATCTCGATGGGTACGGGAGAGGGCGAGGAGGGAGGAGGAGGAGGAGGGGTTTGAGAGGGTGTGCGGGAGGGGGGATTTGTGCGAGGGCGAGGGCAGCGAGAGGGGGTATTGTCGGGGGTCGGCGTGGAGGGAGGGAGGGAGGGAGGAGGAGGTCTTCGGGGCTAGAGTCGGGTCGTCGTCGTCGTCGTCGTCGTCTTGCTATCTATCTCCAGCATCAGCTTTACGTTTGGGCTATCGGGAGGCGCTGCTTGCGTTCGCGTAGACCTTGCGCGTCTGCTTCGTCTATCCGTCTTTTATTTGCCGAAAGAGAACTGGAAACTCGAGAGGAGGGAGGCGGCACGAGGGAGAGGGAGAGGGAGGGGAGGGAGGGGAGGGGAGGAGGGAGGGGGCCGGGGGGCGGAGAGAGAGATATTAGAGCAGCGAGGGTCGTTGTCGAGCGCGAAGGAGGAGGAGGAGGAGGAGGAGGGCGGAGGAACGAAGAGGACGCGGAGCGAGGGCGGACGGGAGGAAGAGAGCGAGGAAGCCATGCCATATGTGCCTCCACACATCCGGGCGGCGGCAGCTGGCGCCCCAGGAGGTGGAAGAGATTCGGGCGGAGGGAGGGAGAACGGGGGATCGCAAGATTACGGAGGTGGAAAGGAGTATGGTGGCAGTTTTGGTAGCAATAGAAGTGGTGGTAGGGACTCGAATGGATTCGGAAACGGGTATGGCAGAGATGGATCGCTGAGACGAGGGGAATCTCGGGGAGTGGCTCTTCCCGAAGTCGTTTGGCCCAAATGGCAGCCCTCCGAACGCATCAGACGACTCCAAGAGGATCAGGTATTCTTCCGCTTCCTCCTTGTTTGTGATTTCCCGCAGGGCATTGCGCTCCGGGTCTTTGCGAACCGATGTCTTTCTGTCGCGGCGGGCGGAATGTCGTGGCCGATTCGAGCGATCCTCGTTGCGATCAGGGCCTGTCTGCCAACTGACCCGAGCTGTCAGTTTTAGCCTTAAGGCTTTTCGATGGCACGCATTCCTGTTGAACTCCAGCCTTGCACTGCAACCGTGGAAGGTCCTGGTAATGATCTTTCGGTCTTCGTCCGGGACTTTCTCGCCTGTGCTCCCTGACCTTGGGTGTCGTTTATTAGGGTTGAAGACTGCTTGTCCAACTGAGTACCTTGTCACGGCTTTGAATAGTAATGAGGTTCTTTGGAAGTAGCACTGTGAACAGATCTGCAACCGAGAAGGAGCACACAGATCTCTGTTCGTGGCTGCTCTTTTGCTGCAGCTTGAGTCTGCAGATCGAAGCCGTGGGCTTGGCCACCTCCCTTGCCGTAGGCTGTTGCATAACGCTTGCTCGTTATCCCGTTCACCGTAATTGTAGACTTATTCATGGGATTGCGGCGTTCGTTGGGCGATGTGCTATCTTTTTGTTCGGAACAAGAAGTTACGCACTGTATGAACCCTGTGGGGTTGTCTCTTTGTAAGAAAACCTATTCGCCCCTTGCAACCGCCCTGCGTGTATAAACGGAGGCCGACATTGCCCGATTTCACTTCAGAGTCGGTGATTCTTGTCTAATACGCTGAGCTGATTGGTGCTACGAGTAGTCATTCAATTCATGAGTCCGGAATTGAGCCTTTTACAGCCCTGTAGAGAGCCCTGGGGGAAATGCATCGGGTCTCTCGGAGAACAGGCACCTGCAGTTCTTCGATTGGCTCTTTGTTACTCCCTTGCACTGAGCTGCAAGCGAACCTTCACGGAGAATATCTCGAAACAAGAAGTGGTAGGCTGTTAGTATCAGACGTGGGTTCCTCCTGGCGAAGTCAATGACCTACAGGAATGCAGTGGTTGTACTAAGTTCTCAGACTTGAACCGTCGCGTTCGGATTTAGCCCAAGTCTGAAAGTCGGCTGAAGAGTCAACAATGTTATTTGTCACCCAAGATCCTTCTATGAACTATCCCCAGCTCTTCCTCAACTCCGAATACCTTCGGTGCTCTAACATCTCATCCCTTAGATTTGAAACTTGGTCTTGCTAAACCCCGAATTTCTCAGAGCTCATGTATATGCTCTTGAAACCGGGAGAAGGTCTCAAAGGCACTGAAGGTTTAGCGGACGGTGTGGCTGATTTCGAGAGGTTCCTGTTCCTTTTCACGTCTTTAATCTCCCTGAGGAGCCAAAAATTCACCCGTGGGGAGAGGTTTATCGAAGGTTTATTGTTCCTGTAGAAGTAGCTGTTGAAAGAGAGTACTGCTGAAAGTGAACTGAATGCATTTTGACTTTTTCCTTCAAGGTCCTCGCAGGTGTCTTACAAGGTGTGCTTCTGAAAGACTGGAAATACGCTTTTCATAAAGAATGCTTCCTCTTTAAGGAGATTGTGAAACTGTGTTCCAGTTCGTGACAGACTTCATTCCGATGTTCTATCACGTTATGCTGATATCTTTATCATCACGTCACCGGACTCTAGAAACAATCAACAGTATGCTTTAGGGCCAGATGTCAACGCCCAAACGAATCGGTGTTCTAGAGTGCAAAATACGGAGAGGAGTGCTCTCGCAAATTATGTACTATCAGAGCAAAATGGAATATACCAATAACAAACTGTTCATACATCTAACTAGCAGGAGAGTCATAATCTTTTGCATTTGGACCCATGTACTGCGTTTCTTCTCGTCCGTTTTGAAGCCTTAGTACTAGCTGTGTTATAACAAGAGCCTCAGCTTCATGAAATTCGGGGTTGTGAAAGTGTCGTAGACTCCACTTAACTTTTGAAATTCTTTCGAAGGTTGTATGTGATCACTTTGTCACTATAGCTAATATATCCGAATTTCTATTCTGAGGTAATTGACTGCTGTCCGACGCGAGAATATAAATAGCTCAGTTGTCGAACTTAGATATAAACTTCAAAATGGTTTTCCGTCTTGTTCTCGGTAAACGCCCAGTATAATTTGTTTGTACCAGCTTATCAGAATTTCGTACAATAGCAGCATGCCTCGTGACCTCTCTTCTTTTTTGAGGGAGGAGTTAACATTTTTTAAGCCTTGTATGTACATATACTACGCCTACTAGATCTTGTACTGCATATCTTTCACACGACTGCAGACATTCTGACTCGTGATTTCTCACAGGTCGCAGATGTCAGGGTTCGCTTGAATGTGGACGTGGAGATCACACCTGGAACGGGAGTAGCACCAGCACCGGTCGAGTCGTTCGAAGACATGGTGGGTATTTTTCATGTCACTACTGCTGCTTGATTCCACGTACTTCGTGCTGGGAGCGTGAGATGTACGAAGTTACTGGATGTAGAGGATTTGGCCCAGAGGAAAGCTTAGGCTGCCATGTCCGACTGATATTTTGAACTTTTTTCAAACATGACGGAGTGATTTTGGAGTGAAGGTGTTCAGCACTAGTTTTAATACATTCGTACATTACGGAGTCCCATTGTCTGAACCTTTCAGATAAACTTGTTCATCCACATTTGTTGGATAACCAGCAATGTGAATAAGTGCAATTGGAGATTTTTAATTGCTTGCCCTGTGGCGGCGGGTCACTGTAGGCGTTCTTTTATTGTTACATAGTCCTGTTTTACCGAGGTATTTCAGTTAAGTTACTGAGATACTTTTATCCCGTCACCACAGACGTCAAACACCACTCGTCGTTCTGAGCTTTGATTTTATGGTGGATCTCACAAGCTTGGTGCTGTTTGCGCAGTGTCTTCATCAAAGCATAATGAAAGACATTGCTTTTCACGAATATACAACACCCACTCCAATCCAAGCCCAAGCGATGCCCGTTGCTCTCTCAGGAAGAGACTTATTGGGATGTGCTGAGACTGGAAGTGGAAAAACAGCTGCGTTTGCCCTGCCCATGATACAGGTATATAATCATGTGTTGAGCCGAGGAAGCGAAGAGTTTTCATATTGAAGTGCTTCTATTATAACAATAACTTACCTCTTCGTTGGTTGTCATTTTCAGCACTGCCTAGCACAGCCTCAAGTCAGGCACGGAGACGGGCCTTTAGCTTTGGTGCTTGCGCCTACAAGGGAGCTCGCCCAACAAATTGAAAAGGAGGTAAGAATTTACACCATTATTCTTTTCAATTGACCTTCGTTTACCGTATCATCGGCGAAGAGACCAATATCTCTTTACATTTAGTTTCACCCTGTGATCATCGTGACTGTACATTTGAAACTGTGACTTTAACCATTACCCTAGGCATGTAGAGGGTTTGGTCAGCGTACACATGTTTTCAGTGTACAATTCAGCAACACTTAACTGGCCCCTGATCCATACTTTTTACAGGTGAAGGCGTTCAGCCGCTCTGCAGATGGCTTCCGAACTGCCATTGTTGTCGGAGGTACCAACATCGGAGAACAGGTCTGCAACAATCACCTGTTTGTTTGAAGAAATGAAGCATTGATCTGTGAATGATAATTTTGTTCGATATTGTTCTGGAAGAAAGTAAGTTTCTTAAGGTACTGGACTCATCCTTTTTCTGCACCAGAGATCGGAGCTTCGATCAGGCGTCGAAGTGGTTGTTGCCACACCAGGAAGGTTTATTGATCATCTTCAACAAAAAAACAGTTCTTTGACGAGGGTGTCCTATGTGGTGTTAGATGAGGCTGACAGGATGTTGGACATGGGTTTTGAACCTCAGATCAGAGAGGTATGTCGTTTACGCCATCAGAGGAGTGAGTCATTTTTCGGCAGAGTGAAATCAGCAAGTGGTCCCGAGCTGTCTTAGCTGTCGTTTTTATCGGCCCTTGTTTGAACGAGAATTCTGGCACCATACCTGTTCACTTGGCCGATTATAAAACGCTTATGTTTGTCGAAGCATATGAATGATTATATTCTTTCTGGTCGTACCCGTAGGACTGTAGCTTAGTCATAATGTAAATGTATTCCTCAATACTAATTCAGGACGATGGCAGGTCATGCGGAGCCTCCCGAAGAAACATCAAACTCTGCTTTTTAGTGCAACTATGCCAGTAGAAATTGAGACACTTGCTCAGGTTCGTCGTTCTGAACCTACACTTTTTCTTGGGTTCGGTAAGAGGAGTTGTCGGTAACCGAAATCAATTGTACGAATTGAGGAGCAGTACACTTCAATAAGCTTTACAGAGGACCATCTTGTTGACGCTTGCCATATACTTTTCTTTAAATAGGCCTCTACTCTAGTTTCTTTATCTCAGGCTGGTATGGTTTTTTGTTGATGGTTGAAACCTTCGCTCCGTCAGCTTGTTTTGACTAAAAGATTGAATGGTGGTTTACATTAATATTCTATATAGAGTACAAGTTGACCCTATACATGTTGCATGTTCAGGAATACCTTACCAGCCCCGTACGAGTGAAAGTTGGAAGAGTCAGCAGCCCTACAGCCAATGTCACTCAGACCCTTGAGAAAGTTGGAGAGAAAGAAAAGGTAGCGATCTTCAGGCTTCTACAAACTGTAACAAAATAACAAAATAATTTTGCTGTAACAGAATTCCGTTTCAGTAACTTTCAATAATGTAAAACGTGTTAATTATGTTCACAATGATACAGTTTGAGTGAGGATAATGATATAACAGGGATAGAGGCTATAGGGATTTCAGAAAATGTTGTCGGAATACCGTCTCAGTTCAGTTCCCGATCAAAACGTTTCGTCAGTTTTAACAAGTTTGTTTGTCTTCTGCGCAGATTGATCACTTGCTGTCTCTTCTCGTTGATGAGATTTCACAGTCAGAGAAAGCGGGACAACCACCTCCACTCACAATTGTCTTTGTGGAGCGGAAGGTTTGTTTAGCCAATTCTGGATGGAGCCTCTCTAGTCCTGCATATTTATTTACAAACATGATCGAGGTCATAGAAGCAGATGTGAACTTATTTTGTTTTAAAAGCTTGGCCCACCCTTATTTTCTCGCGTTTTCCTGACTCTGCTCGTCTTTGATTTAGGCAAGATGTGATGAGGTATCTGATGCCCTTGTGGAACAAGGGTTAAAAGCTACTGCTCTTCATGGAGGACGTAGTCAAAATGAAAGAGAAGCAGCTCTACGGGATTTCAGGAAATGTGTTACCAGTATCTTGGTGAGAAATATTCCTCTGCCTTCAGTAAAGATGTGCATGATAAGATTCCCAGAGGAAAGCTTGTTGCGTATGAAACTTTCCTAGTCATTGTTCAGTCGGGGATCCGTCGTCGAAGTAATGTGATAGACGCTATAGAGTGAAATGTTGCACTGTGTTCAAACTTTTTGTTCCCTTATTGCAGGTTGCCACCGACGTAGCGTCGCGAGGTCTGGATGTGACTGGAGTTGCGCACGTTGTTAACTTAGACCTTCCTAAGGTGGGTTGGTAGGGAGCATGAGTAATCTGTTCGCTTCAAATATCCAGGTTGTTTAGGAAACTTGATTGATCTATGCTCCAGTTTTTAAGTCGACCTGCAGCCTTTGGATAACTTCTTGTCACATATTAAGATTAAATCGCCCTGTACTCTTGTCGATCAGCAGCTTCTGGATTAACTAACTTTGACACTACCCTCGAAGGTAAGGTTTTAGCACATGCTCCAGAACTTTTGTCAACCTGACTTTTTTTGTGTACTGTAGACCATGGAAGATTATGTCCACCGGATCGGAAGAACAGGTCGAGCTGGGGCTTCAGGACGAGCCACATCTTTCTACACTGATCGTGATGCTGTATGTTCGAGAACCTTATGAGCATTAGAGCAAGTTATTTTGTTGTCATTATATCCTTGCTGGTCCTAAGTGTTCATTCCTCTTAGTATAGTTGCGTTAGTATCCTAGTGGCGCAGAGTTGCTGCAGAGGATCTCGTATTCTTCATATTTCACATCTCTCGGTGTGGAAGCTTCTGCTTATATAATCATGTCTAACTCACTGAAATGAATGTTGCTCGCAGTTTTTAGTGGCTCAAATTCGAAGGGCAATAACAGAAGCTGAATCAGGAAATACGATGGCATTCGCTACTGGAAAGGTCGTTTACGTTTTACCTCGTTCATTTTTTCGTGAAGTTTGATGGTATCGAGTCTATGACCAAATTCATTTGTGGCTTCAACGCTTCCTTCATCGGAAGTCTCACTTTTGATGCAGCACCCGTACGACGGGAGTTGGTGTTGTAGTGATGTCTACGCTCTCTTGACTTCACATCCTCAGCCCGGGGAAGTAGTTTGGTAGTTCTGTAATCTTTCAGCCGACAGGGACGCAAAGCAACGGGTCTGACGTCTAGGTTTCTGTTGACAGGCTGCCAGGAAGAAGGAGCGGGAGGAAGCAGCCGCTTTCCGAGAAGGAAGGGTCGCACCGACTGGAGTTGCTCAAATAGGTGCTACCACCGTACGTGTAGATGACAAGTACAAGCATATGTTGGTACCCCAGGTAGACCCGAAGAAGGGTGAGGGTGCTGCAGATGATGCTTGGGATGATTAAATTGATCTGCTGGTACCTAGAGAGGCTAAAGCGGGAGGGAGTTTCAGTTGCTCTTTGTAACTTGTAGTGAATTCTTAGAATTCAGTATTTTTCGAGTAAGGATCGATCATACGGGGATTAGAGGATGTGGCAGAGGTGTAAAGCCCGAGAAGCGTTCAATCTGTGTATTTAGCCGTGAAAAGCTGCAATTATATCTTCAAGATCTCTTTGATCGCTTTCATTGGAGCTTGTTCTAGTTTTGTAAATGATCTGTACTTCAAACAAGGAGCAGTGAGGAGATTATTAATCATATTTCATGCCTAGTTTTACATGGGTAGGATTGTCACCTCAACGAACGTTTGTCAGTTAAGCCGGGTGTGTGGTTTTCAATCGCACATACCCTGCCGATTGGCCTGGACTTGGCAGTTGTAAAGCAATTTTTCGAGTTCCAGTCAATCTATGACTCATCAAGCTGTTAAATGCAGTACCAGCATGTCGGAGGAAATCGTGCAGTGAACCTTCCTCGACTCCACCGTTAGATGTTGTCTTTCTGGGTCTCTTCTGGGGTATTTTAAGCGAGTGAGGAGTTTTACATAACGGAAATTGCAGCCGTCGGGCGGTTACATAGAGAAATGTGATGTATTTGCGCATCAGTATGTGTCGAGAGTTTGCTGCCATTCATAATCTACGCACGCCGACTTTTGAGTGACTCTATTCTTGTGTCAACTTTTTCATGTGGCCAATACCCTGTCCTAACTATATGTGTCATTGGTACTCGTAATCTGGTTTACTTCTTCATTCTTGCCCTATTCCACAATGTGGTGAATATTTATGCTTGGAAGAACTTGCTTTTGTACTACGCTCCACCTCGACTATATTCGGAGAAGGTGCTGCTGCTCCACAACGACCTGACGCGCTGGAGTTACTGTCGCCGTATGGGTCTCGTTCAAAGCTGTGGGTCTGTCATCCGCACGTCGACAGTTCAGCGGTGAGCAGGATACTTATACAAGGACGATTAAGTTGAGTTTATTTTAATCTGTCAAGTACATGCATTGTTTACATGGATGAATGTTGCATCGCCACAGGAGAGGAGGGGACTAGGCAATCCCCTCCTCTCAGGGCGCTGCAAGGTGTTGGCCTCAGTCCTGGTGAAGTTCCCATTAGTCGTCCTTTCGACAGCTGAAGACAACCTGTCTACAGATATCGGATCTGACCAATTTCTGTTTCTGACAATTGAGGTGGTTACAAATAGTAGAGATGGTGACAGACTACTGGTGAACTAGTCACTGGTTCGTAGCGGTGATAAGTTTGAATCTTCACTGCATGTCGTGAGCACGAGGACTTGTGTCAAGGATCTTGACCCGAAAACATCTCTTCACCGTAGTGTAGCCGTGGGTTGTAGACCTTTGTTCCTTGGCATTAGTGATATTTAACCCCACCTATGAATGCGGTGATCGAAAGTTATACACACAAGGAGGGTTTTATGTGAAAGTAGAATGTAATTTTTGGTACTTAATTCCCATGTCTCGTGTGTAAGATGCGTGGTGAAGTTGAACAACATTGAATCATTTAGCATCGTCAAAGTGAGTCGCCCTCACATACGATGGTAGACAGTGGATGCTCGTATTGAAAATCTTTCAAATGAATCTACTTGTCGTGGCATCGAGTAGAGCTCGAACAACCTCGTGGGGATCTATGTAACGTAACCACAACTAAATGCAGGAGTTTCTCTCATGAACGCTAAACGCTCCAGAACACAGTGCGCAGTGTCTGCCTGAGATTCGATGAGCACATGTCGCCCAAATAGAAACTATAAAAGTCGCGAAATCATCAAGAGGGTCCGAAAATTGGAACTGCTGGACGAATAAAGTAAAATCTGAAAATGTGAAATGCAGCACCTACTACCTTCTGGAGAAAGGCCAGACACGTAGAGAGCACAGTTTACAGACATATCCGCATTTGAAACGCTCTCGCAAGGTTAAAAGACAAACACACTCACAGCCTGACAGCATCCTGACGGAAGCACTCTTTGTGGCACCTGGTACCACATTCTCGAGAAAGAGATATTCACTGCGTGTTCTCTCGTGCATGGTGGGAAACAACTTTCCTCCTCTTTTCCTTCACCTTCATCCTCTGCCCTGTTCTGCTTTCCGCTGAGACCGAAATGGTCGAGGTCGAATCGTAGCTGAGCTCGTAACCTCCTATTCCTCAATTCCTCGAGTCAGTCAATGGCTTCTGACAACGTTCAGGTTCTTCTGGTTCTCTCGTTCGGCATCATTCATTCATTGCCTTGGAAGAAGAATCTGACCCCTACACTTCAATACTAATCGGCCTCCAGTATGTTGCCTCCTACTCTCACTGACTCAAAACACAATACTGTACTGTACAATGAGTGCTCACGAAAGTAAGTCTCGGAGTTAGCCAATTCTCCCATCGGCCACAGTTCGTGCAAGCATAGCTAGCTTCTCAGACTTTCTCTTAGATTCTCTGCTTTTGACGAGGACCAAACAGCCAATCCACTCCACTGATGCTCTGAACCTGGCTTCAATTTTCCCTCCTACTCTTCGTTGTCATTCGTGCGAGCGAGTGTGCGAGAGGACAGATATACGAACTACTCCACGGAATTCTTGAATCACCTCAATTAAACCTTTGGTGATGGTCATGTGAAAGCTGGCGAGGAGGCCCACCTTTCTACAGCAAAAGCACACATGAAGAATCATCAGACCTATGAGAAGATTATTGTTCCCATGAAGTCAAGTCAAGATATTGCCTTCCTCTTCTGTGAGGATCTGGAAGCTCCTGAGATCGAAATTGATGTCAGTGGATTCCCATCGACTCTAGATCAAGTACAGAAGGCTAATATACATAATAATAATAATAATTGCAAATCTCACATGTGGTACAATTGATAGATAGTCAAGAAATGTCACAGTGCGAGGTATGTTGACCCAGAAAGACCATGTCACCTTCTTACTCACTCCTCGCTCAGTCATTCTATCCTGTCTTCAAATTGCAGGAAGATGGCGATTATAAGATGTTGATCCCATATTTGCTATGATAAAAGTGTAACAAAAAAAAAGAAGGAAAAAATTATTTCTTTGAGGCTTCATCGTGTATCTTGTGGCCTTATTGAAAGTATCAAGTCCAGACGGATCCAAGTGACCAAAAATGAATGTCATTTTCTTCTCTTTAGATGTTCCAAGTCATTGCTCTTCATAACACTCCAAATCAATTCTTGGGAGTTCTCAAGGGAAATAGAATTTGGATGTCTACATATAATATAAACGTGTGTGGATCAGAAGGATGATTACCACATTAACATAGTTATATGGATTAGTTCATGATTAGATATAAGTTTGAAGCTTTCATATAAGATGAAATTCAGTTAGACATTGAGATATAAAGAATTGAAGCTGCATTTTATTGTAATATCAAAGATATAAAGTATATTGATACACAAATTTTTTATTTTGTCAATCACGCTTTAGAATTCATTCATTGCTCCCCACATAATATTAAGACTTACTTCACGTTTGCTCATTTTCATAAATTTTATTCTAATATTCACATCTTTTACAAAATCTATAATATGATTAATATGTTGTTGAGTACTTGAGCTTAAAAAGTTAGATGCGACATTAAAGAGTTGATCATTATTACGATTTTTTTTTCAAATCTTAAGAAATCAACGCTTCTTTCACTTCTTAGATGTATTTCATAGTTGGATGAAGATAAAAAACTAGTGTCATCCCCAAATTGATGATTTAATGCTAATTTTTGAAATAAAACTAAGCTGATTAGTTTGGACAAATCATGTGAAAATGGATATATTAGTCCCTACATTGATAATATTACAATAAAATTTGACAAAAGAATTATATGTTTGTGTTAAATGTAATTGTTCTTAAGAAATTTTCTTTATATGAAAATTATTACATACAATTTATGCATCAAGAAATTTTCTTTATATGAAAATTATTACATACAATTTATGCATCAAGAAATTTTTTAAATTTTTTGAAGTGAACATATGCATCTTGTATTTAATTTCCTGCATTTAATTACTCAATGAATTTAGATTTTTTTTGAAAATTCAATTGATGGATTTTAGAACTTTAACATAATATTTTCAAAATTATATAAAGAAATTTTACATCACAGAATGTTGTATTTTTTAGATGGTTGAAAAGTATATGATTGCCACAATATGAAAATGAATTTGTAGATTATTAAATTTAGATAAACTGAGTTACAATAGTGATTCATAATAATATTTCATTGTTGAGGTTAACTAATGTTAAGGAGTAACCTCAGGTCCTAGCTATATTTAGCTAGTACGGTCGTCTACACTATGGATAAATACCCAGCTTTTGTTTGTACATGTGATACATTTTGTGTGAGAGACCTGTAGTAAAGTTGCTCATGTTTTCGGTGGACATAGCTGTGGTTCCAAGGATGAACCTTGTTATTTCTGGCTCGGATGTTGGTTGATGATTTCTCATGTTTCGTCAAGATGATTCTAGTGATTTAGTTCTACATTCATAACTTTAAAATTTTAACATTAATTATTATCTTAGACAAGTTTGATTTTCAATCAAACAACTTCAAAATAGTTGAAAATTTGAGTAGAATTTAGTAGCTACTTTGTGTTTGAGTTTTACATGGATTCACAAGGACACAAACACGATAAGCGCTAAGCCTTCTACTGTAAAAGATTGACATAAGCATGTGCTAGTAGGCTTTCATATTACGGAAGCCTACAAGCCCTGTAACTTTTAGGCGTGAGGTCAAAAAGGATGTGTCTACTTCAACAACAAAAACGTTCTAGAGTTCATGTTAGAAACTTGTTTTAAATCCAGGTTCTAGTCTAAATATAACCTCCCGGATTGATAATTGTGATGGCGAAATCTTCCAAAGTGAGCAGCCAAATATATCCTGCTGGATTCAACCTAACCCAATACCCTACTCCCACTACATCTGACCTCGGATCTCCGGCATTAGGATGAGGAAGCAAGAGCAGCACAGAAATACGTCTCTTGAAGGTGGGAGGAGAGCATGGAGTCTCAAGTCTCAAGTTGATGGGATCTGGAGTAGAAGGAGTAGGAGAAGAAGTGGTTTAGAATTTAATAGAAAGTTTCTTCTTTTTTATGTAGATTCAGGCTTTACAAATATTTCTTAAAATTATAAATTCAAATTATGAATATAAAAATGTCTAATTTCATAATAAAATATTTTATTTATGCATTTTGAAAAGTTTTTATTGGTTTTAAAATTTCAAATGTTTTTTTAGATTGAGATTAGAATATTTGTTATAATTTCATGTAAAAAGAAATGAATCTGAATTTTTGTGATTTTTTTAAGAACATAAAATAGAATTACATTTCAAAAATTTATAATTTATAAAATAATGAATATATTATAAAATTAAGAAATTAGATATAAATAGAAAATTTTTATTTAAAAAATATCTTTACTCAAAATTAACATTTTTATTTTCAAAATTAAATACCAAAATTAAATTGAAATTAAATGCTTAAATTTTCAAAATAATTTTAAATTAAAGTTTAAAATATATATGAAATAATTTTATGTGCGTTATTTGTTTTGATAAGTAGATTTCTTAATTTAAAAAAATTAATATGTATACAAAAAATTAAAAAATTTATGAATTGATACATAAAATTTTTCATTATAGTACATGATATGCTCAATTTTACTATTAATGGATATGTGGATTAAATTAACTTTGTATTAGCAAAAGTCAAAATTTAATCATATTGATGATTAATATATTGATTTAATCTAAGATTATAAAAATTACTTGTAAAAAAAAGGAATATATTGGATTATGTACATATGATTTATATTATTTTAATAATATAACGTTTCCTATTGTGCATTTATGAAATTTTTAATTGGAATTTTGAAATATATTTTTATTTAAAATCATAATTTATTTAATATATGTTTAAATTTTAAAATAAGAATATTAAATTTATACATTTTAAGCGCAATAATATTATTTCAAACTATAAAGATAGAAAAAAGTTATGTTCTGAATTTGTTGAATGTGTTCCAACTTGTTGTAATACCAAATTATCCAAATTGATTGTAAAT